TCATATCTATCTATCTATCTATATATAATATATCTATATATATATTATATATATTATATATATATATATATATAATATATAATATATAGATTATATAGATATATGTATATATATATATTATATATATATAATATATATATATATATATATATATATATTATATATATATATATATATATATATATATATTATAATTATTATATATGTGTGTGTATAAATAAATAGATATATACACTAAATCTATGATATACACTTACCGGCGCTTTGACTCTGAGGGAAGGCCATAAATCATAAGGATGATACAAATAAACTAGTAGCCAACGCAATAAAAAACTATCCATGTCAACAATAAAGGCAAAGAAAGAAGACAAAAAAAGAAGCATTATTGATGATAAAAAACAACAAAACATTATCGCGGTTTTATGGAGAAAGGAACGAAGGGAGAAGATGACGGAGGAGAAGGAGATGAGATAAGCGACTCCTCCTTTTAACCCACATTCATAAATTCAGTGCTTAGTGGTGGCCATCACACACTTGGGAGTTTCCTGTTTTCGTAATATTTCGAGATGTATTTCCAAGGCGGGGGGAGGGAGGAGCGGGGGGAAGGGGTGAAAGAAAGGGAGAGAGAGAGGGAGATGTTGGGAAAAGGAGATACGTAGATAGAGAAGAGGGGGAGGTGGGAAGAAGAGAGGGGAGAAGAGAGAAAGGAGAGAAGAGAGAGAGAGAGAGAGAGAGAGAGAGAGAGAGAGAGAGAGAGAGAGACGAGAGAGAGAGAAGAGACCAAGAGATAAAACAGAAATATCCCCTCCCAAGCAGACACATAACCCTTTCTATCTCCCTCCGTTTTTTCTTTTTCCCTCCTCCTGGCCCTCCCACGTGGCACCGTGACCGAGTGCCACGAGGAACCGGCCCTCCATCGCCTTTAATCCCCTCCCGCAGCCGTGAAAACCGCAGAGCTCCGTCGGTCCGGATTTTTGCCGGTCGCTCCGTCCGCCTCCGCCGAGTTGCGCCGCCCGGGTCCGGACGCTTGGGAGGAGCCGGAGAAGGGGGGAGGGGGAGGGGGCGAGGGAAGAGAATGTGCACAGCAGGGATCGGCGAAGAAGGATGTGCAGGAAGAGAAGGAGAGAGAGAGGAAAGAGAGAGAGAGAGAGAGAGAGAGAGAGAGAGAGAGAGAGAGAGAGAGAGAGAGAGAGAGAGAGAGAGAGAGAGAGAGAGAAGAGAGAGAGAGAGAGGAGAGAGAGAGAGAGAGAGAGAGAGAGAGACAGACAGACAGACAGACAGAGACAGAGAGAGATAGAGACAAACAGACAGACAGACAAACAGATAGAAAGACAGCCAGCCAGACAGACAGAGACAAACAGAAAGAAACGCGGAGACAATACTGCAAGAGAATCTGACCTCTCTCCCTTTCCTTCTCTCCTCTCCCTCCCCCATTTTATCTCCCTCTCCCATCGGCAAGTTTCTTCTCTTTATGTGAACCCCTGAACGTGGCGAGACTGCCTGGCTGTTCTTGTCGCCTGATCATTACACTGTGATGGTATTTACCCCTTCTCTTCTTTTGTTAGAAATCGCACCTTATGCTTTTGCTTTTTATTTTTTCATGTTCTTATTTTTCATCATTATTGTTCTTATCATTATAATCATTACTATTGTTAATGATACTAATATTAATAATGAGCCTAATAAAAGTAATGATGATGATAATAGTTATGATGATTATAATGATAGCAATAATAATGAAGATAATGATTATAATGATAATGATGATTATAATAAAACCAATAATACTGATACTGCCACTACTTCTACTATTAATAATAACAATGATATCATTACCATTATCATTTTTGTCGTTGTTGTCTTATTTGTTATCATTATTATTACTAGTATCATTATCATCATTACTATTATCATTATTATTGTTTCTATTATTATTCTTGTTATCAATATAATCATTAGTATTACCATCATCATAACTCTTATCATTTATGAGTTACCATTATTAATATATTATCATATTGATTACCAATATCATTATCATCTTCAAAATCATTATTATCATTATTGTCATTATTATTACTATTATTATTGGCATTACCATTATCTTTATTATTATTATTATTATTGCCATCCTTTTTATTATTATTGGTATTATTATTATTATCATTATTATCATTATCATTATTTACTATCATAATTATCATTATAATCACTATTATTATCATCACTATTATCGTCATTATCTTATCTTTGTCATCAACTTTTTTATTATTATCATTATTGTTAATCTTATCATTATCATACCTACTTTCATTATTAATATATTCATTATCATTATCATCTTCATCATTATATTCTTACTTTTTTGTTTTGTTCGTTAATATTCATTCTCGTACATAAACATAACTTTGCATTTTTTGTTTCTTTAATGTTTTTCTTAATACTCTCTATCGTTCCTTTAACTCTCTTTAAAACTCCGCTCGTTTCATTTACTTTCTTTCTAACTTATTTTTTCTCTTTCTCTCTCTCTTGCTTAGTCTCCCTTTATCTTTGTCTCTGTCTCTTTTACTGTCTTTGTCTCTCAAGTTCTCTGCTGTACAGTGACATAATGTCTGCAGTCTATGAAAACCCAATGCTATCAGTGATTTGTTATAAGTATGAAGTATGTATCAGTATGTGCATGTATTATGCATGTATAATTGTTAACTGATGGTAAAAAGTTGTTCTGAAAATATTTCAGCATGGTATATATGAGTGTAAGTATGCATAAGTATATAATCGTATGGTTTTTAAATGATGATAAAAAGTTTGGTATGAATAAATGTTTTAGCTCATACTGTAGACCATATATACTGTATAAGACTGGTAGTGACATTATCCTACATTGGGAGGACTTAGTAATCAGGCATGTATGACCCCCAGAACGTGTCCCTGCCTCCCTGCTTTCTTGAACAACCAACGGCGACGCGGTAGCTCTCGTTACAGGGCTTGTCGTTGGTGATATCTAGCCTTATTCCAACATGCAATAAGAATGAGACTTCCGTGGCCGTAGATAATTTGTGGGATCAACCGGAGAACGTGAGAAAGTCTACGCTATCGCCCGATTTCGTGTTGGACAAGTTCATGGTTTTTAATAACGAGGGAGATATCTATTTTGATAGCGTAGTATGATGTGTTAGTTTAATAATATTTCCAAACAGTTCCGTCACCCACTGAAGGGGGAGAGAGGGGGATATTTCCGGGTTGAGGCGGGGTGGATTCGTCCCCGTCACTCCTTGTCCACAGCAAAGGGAGGCGGAGGGCAAGAGCAACCCCTGAATAGAGATCGGGGCAAGCGACTGCTCATATACAATTTAAACTATAAATGCATGCAGTATATACATGGGCTGATAGGTACAAGCTACCACTTTGACCAAGCCTATTTGTGACCTTTAACAGAGTTATGGCACCCGCTCAGCATAAGAGGCGGTGGCAACTTGCTGTCAAAGAGGCTATTCTGGCGACGACAATTAATAGAACTTCAAAAGAAGAGCTTATCCCCCTCTCCTAGCCCTTCCCCTTACTGACTCCACGCCTCCCTCTTCTTCCTCCTCCTCCTCTTTAACTCCACCTACCCCCTTTAACTCCTCCCTTCCCCTCAATCCCCATTCGAACCGTGAACCCCCTCCCCAATTCTATCTCCTCCTCACCCCCCAATAACATTACTCTTACCTCTCACGAAATCCACCTTCTCTTTTATCCCTAATTCCATCTCCACATTCCCCTTCTATTTCCCCGTCCTTCCCCTTCAACTCCAAACCTCCCTTTCTTCTTCCCATTCACCTTCTCCTCTTCTTCCCTTTCCCCACAAACTATCTCTCCCATTTACCCCATTGACTCCCCCTCCTTTCCCCTCACTAACTTGCCCTCTCTTTTCCCTTACGAATTTCTCCTCCCCCTTCCCCAATAACTCCCCCTTCCCTATCCCCCCCCTCCTTTCCCACTAACCACCCCTCACCCTTTGTCGCACCAACATCCTGTCATACCTCTAAAGACAAGGACGTAACTTGAGGCAATTATAAAGTGCAATTTGTTGTTTTAAGGATATTACCTGCTTGCGACGGGGGATGGGGTATAGGGGGGGATGGGTCATGAAGATTGATAGGGTAAGGGGGTAGGGATGGATAGAGGGGAGGGGAGGCAGGGAGGCGAGAGGACTGCACTGAGGGAAGGAGGAGGAGCAGAGAGGCTAGGAGGATGGAGGAGAGAGAGGAGGGGGAGAGGGACGCAAAGAGGATTGATAGGAATTAGGTAGGAGGTGGAGGGGGGGGGGTGAGGGAAGGACCGTGTGTGAACAAGGATCATCCGTTTGTGTATGAGGAAAAAGGGATAAGGCAAATAGGATTACGTACAAGGCTGAAGGATGCTGCAGAGAAAAGCATGGCAGAGTTATGAATGGATAAATAACAAGGGGGTGATAACCGGTGGGAAGTGAGGCAGAGGGAAGAAAGACTGGATAAATGGGCGTTAAAGAAGATAAAGAAAAGGGAGATGCAGATTTTAGGAATCAGTACGAATAAAATTGAACATTTTGATTGTTATTTATTGGAATGGGGAAGGGGGGTAGAAGGTGTAATGAGGGAAGGAAAAGATGTAATGGAAAGGAAGTGGAGAAGGAGGAGGAAGAGGAGGATGAGGAAAAGAAGGAGATGGAGTGGAAAAGAAGAAAAAGAGGATGACGATGAAGAAGAAGGAGGAGGAGGAGGAAAAAGAAGAGGTGGGAGAGGAGGAAGAAGAGAAGGAGGAGGATTAGGAGGAGGAGAAGAAAAATAAGAAGGAGGGGAAGAGAACAACAACAACAATAATAACAATAATAAAAGTAATAACGGTAACAATGATGATGATCATAATAGTAATAGCAGTAGTAATATTGATAATAATACCAGTGACAAAAAATAATAATAATAATGGTAATAATGATAACAGACATAATGATAAAAGTGATAATAATAATAATAATAATAATAACAACAATAATAGGATAATAATAGTAATAATAATGATATAATGATAACAATAATAGTAAATAATAATAATAATATGATGATGATGATTATCATTATCATATAATAATAATAATAATAATATAATAATAATAATAATAATAATAATGATAATAATAATAATAATAATAATAATATAATAATAATGATAAAAGATAATAATAAAAAATATAGTAAATGTTAGTAATTGATAATAATAATAATGATAATAATCATAATAATAATAATAATAATAATAATAATAATAATAATAATAATAATAATAATAATAATAATAATAATAATAATAAATAATAATAATAATATAATAATAATAATAATAATAATAATAATAATAATAATAATAATAATAATAATAATAATAATAATGATAATAATAATAATAATAGTAATAATATTTATGATAACAATAATAATGATGATGATAATGGTAATGGTAATGATAATAAGGATAATGATAATAGTAAAAATACTAATGATAACAATAATAATGATGATTAAAATGATAATGGTAATGATAATGATAACGATGATAATAAAAAATGAAATAAAAATATGGTTAAAAATATGGAGGAAATGGAGGAGGTAAAAGAGGAAAAAGAAAAAGAAGAAGGACGAGAAGGAAAAGAAGGGGGAGGAGGAGGAAGATGACGAGTAGGAGAAGAAGGAGGAGGAGGAGGACGAGGAGGTGGATGATGATAATGAGGAGGATAAGGAAGAGGAAGAGGTGAAGAAGAAGGAGGGGAAGATGATGATGATGAAGCAAACACTGACGAAGGCGACTAAGAAAAAATGAAAGAGAAGTAGAGGAAGTAGAAAAAAATATGTAGAAAGGGAAAACGACGTGACAATTGCCAACGCAAAAAACGAAAACGAAATAGGCTGAGAATTGCGTAGACTAGTAGTAAACCTGTATACGTGCGAAATGAGAGAAATCAAAATAACTACGCGTGATTTTAGATTAAAAGGAAGCAGTGGCAGATGAAATTACAAAAGAAGGATACAAATTTTATATTCAGTATCTCTCAGACTTACCATATTTCTGAGGCGACCCCAAAGGAAGAGTAACTCAAAATATAATAAACTAGAAACACTCAGAGTGCGCATACCTCCGCCAAGCAATAGGGTCAGTGATGCAACAAAAACTTCTGGATCCGCACCATGATCCGGATCACCACTAATCTAATGGCAGCTAAGTTGGGCTAAGAGACACCTCTGGTGAATATCTTTCATAACTTTTTGAGTTGTCCTGCTAACCAACGGGGAAAAACGTACAAACTCGCCAACGCTGCCAAAAACATAACTTCCATGGCGGATGTCATGAAAAAAGTTCCATCCACCCACGTACCCAGCTCACCTGGTCGATAGTTGACGAGGGACGATGAGTCTCCCATCAACGTCATCCACTTGGTCACCTAGTCGACATTTCGCCCTAATTACCTCTCGTCCAGCCGTCCCCTACTCACTGCCCACTCGTCTCCCTGATCACCAAACCTTTCCCTATCCATTCACCCACTTATTCAGCCAGCCGTCCACCTGTCCTTTGACCTATCCGCTTAAAAAGTATAAAACCCACCTAAGTACTCCTCCAGCTATCCACCTTACCGAAAATAAAACCGAAGGTAGACTCACAAAGTATACCCAGGCATATAATTGGCAACGACGGCGGCCCACCGTCCACCCATCTCTTCACCCATCCACCCTTCCGCTCATCCACCTTACCTTAGTTGATGGTGACGGCGACGAGCTTGGCCACCTGCCCACCCATCTACCCTTCTATCCACCCACCCATCCACCTCAGCCAAACTGACCCGGAAAGGATACGTACTGATACAAACTGAACCTGAAATCCTACTCACCCAGGATGCCCAGCCTGTAGTTGATGGTGACGACGATGAGCCTGCCGAGCGCCGCCAGCACGGAGCCGTCGTACAGGCTGGCCGAACCCCACTCGTACGACTCGCCGTGCACGTACACCACCACCGGGTACGCCACCTTCTCCGTGCTCGAGTCTGGGGGAGGGAGAAGGTTCTAGAGTCTGGGAGGAGAGGGAGGTTCTAAGGTCTAGTATATATATATATATATATATATATATATATATATATATATATATATATATATATATATATATATATATATATATATATATATATATATTATATATATATATATATATATATATATATATATATATATATATATATATTATATATATATATATATATATATATATATATATATATATATATATATATATATATATATATATATATATATATATATATATATATATATATATATATATATATAAAGAGAGAAAGAGAGAGAGAGAGAGAGAGAGAGAGAGAGAGAGAGAGAGAGAGAGAGAGAGAGAGCGAGAGAGAGAGAGAGAGAGAGAGAGAGAGAGAGAGAGAGAGAGAGAGAGAGAGAGAGAGAGAGAGAGAGAGAGAGAGAGAGAGAGGAGAGAGAGAGAGAGAGAGAGAGAGAGAGAGAGAGAAGAGAGAGAGAGAGAGAGAGAGAGAGAAAGAGAGATCTGAAGAGAGGTCAGAAGAGTCTGTTAGAGGGAGATTTATAGTCAGTGCAGAAGAAAATTTTGATTGTGAAAAGGAATGCGCCGGTCGTTATTACTGAAGAGAGTGCTGGTAATGATCATAACTGCTATGAAAGCATCTTTTCATTGTTATTATTTTTATGGTCATTATCATTATAAGAAGCAGCTGCATTTTATCATTCTCATAATTCCACTCATGCAAAATTGATAATTTATGTACTTAGTCTGTAAGAACTTATATCTATAAATTTCCTTCTGATGTGATCATACGTAATTTATGTTAAAATATAAGGAAGATATCGTCGCCATTACACACACATCAATATAGTCACACACACATCAGTATAGTCACACACACACACAACTGTATAGTCACACACACACACATACGGGCGCACAACCACAGAAATAGAAACATGCCTACAAACAACCATATACTCACAAGATATACATACACAAACACCCTCCAACCATCTCATTTTCTTCTCCCGAGTTTCTCCCCATCAGACGAAAATGCGTTTTATGAGGGCCATTCATCACCCCGACATCACATAACTCAAAACACCTCCTTTGTGTCATCATGAATTTTAAATGATCCAGCGATCTTGAGTTTTCACGAAGGTGTGTTTGATTTATTGATATTCGGAGAGAAATGTAACTGTAAAATAGGGCGGGGAATTTTTCTCGGAGGCTATAGGTGGGTATTGATGTTTGGGAGTTTGGGATGCGGGAGTAATGGCGAGCCTGTTGGAGAAGTTGGAGAGGAGGGAGAGGAGGGAGGGAGGAGGAGAGGAGGAGGGAGGGAGGGGGGGGGAGGGAGGAAAGAGGAGAGAGAGAGAGAGAGACGAGAGAGAGAGAGAGAGAGAGAGAGAGAGAGAGAGAGAGAGAGAGAGAGAGAGAGAGAGAGAGAGAGAGAGAGAAACAGACAGACAGACAGACAGACAGACAGACAGCCAGACAGACAGCGGATCCCGAACGAGGGCCCAGCCAAAGCAGAACGGAGCTTCCGAGCCAGCGCCAGAAACACGGAGTCGCCCAAAGGAGCAAAAAGCGCCGCGATCCGGCCAGGGAGACGGATCGAGCCTGCGACGCCGGGACAATCACACAAATGTCCTTCTAGTCCTCAACAGGCTAAGGATGTGGCGGGGGTATTGGGGAAAGCTTTGAGATTGGGCGAGAAAAAGAGGCAACAGCTGATAAATGAATTGAGAACGTTTGTTTTATTTCTGTCTCGGGAGAGCAGACGCACATGCATAAAAATTCATTGAAACAACAGCATTCTTATTCTCTTCTTTCTCCTTTACATTAATTTCCATTTTTTTCTTTCTCCTCTATATTTACTCCTTCTTTTTTTCCTCTATATTATTCTCCTTCTCTTCCTCCTCTTGTATATGATTCTCCTTCCCCTCCTCCATCTGCGGAGAATCCTCACACAGACATTCTCGAACAATGAATCTCACTGTAAACATCATCTCCCCCCCCTCCTGCATTCGTTCTCCTTCCCTTCCTCCTTCTGTATCGAAAACTGCGCACGCTCTCCGTCACTTCCTCCTACATAAAATCTTCTGTTCCTATTCCTGCTGGGCTGTTCTACATTCCCTTTCTCTTCCCTCTCCTACATACGTTCCTGTCCTGTTTTTTGTCAGCATAGAAACATACTTTTCCCCCCTTCTTTACCTCTTCCTGTTCTGAATTGTCACCCATACGTATCTCTTCATCTGCCTCTCATCGCTGAGTCCTCATGCATACCTTCTTCTCGTCGTACACGTCCATCTCCTCCTCGTCCTCCTGTACACCTCCCTCTTCTCCTCCTATATATCCTTCTACTCCTCGTCCTACTTATCCTACTCCTTCTCCTCCTTCACTGAATCCTCCTGCTCACGTTCTCCTCCTCATCTCCCACCTCCTTGCGCCGCATCCACCTGCAGCGGCTGGCGGAGTCCGGACCCGAGGCGGCGCAACTCGGCGGAGGCGGACTGAGCGACCGGCAAAAATCCGGACCGACGGAGCTCTGCGGTTTTCACGGCTGCGGGAGGGGATTAAAGGCGATGGAGGGCCGGTTCGCCGTGGCACTCGGTCGGGCGCCGCGAGGGAGGTATGGCAAAGGAATGGCAGGGGGGGGGGGATAAGTTGAGTCTGATTTCAGTCTCACGCGCATTTGGGTTCTCCCAGTTTCAGTCTCTGCCTCTAAGTCTGCCAGTCCATTATCTGTCAGGCTGACTCTCTGTCTGTCTGTCATTCTCTCTGTCTGCCCCTCTCTCTCTCTCTGTCTTTCACACACTCATACAGACACGCAAACAAACAAACAAACACACGTACGCACGCACACACAGACAAATAGCCTCAACAGCAAAATCCCGTTTACCCATTAACTTCTTACAAGGCAGCAACGTCTTTGTTTATTCCA